GATATGATATGATCAAGTATATCACGACTTACGATTCATGAATTACTACTAAAGACAGACGAGTGACCGGTTCACGATCCGTTCATATCGTTCATTTTATTCACTGCCGTGCCTAGCCCACATTGAATTTATTAAAAACTTAATTCAAAATGTTTGCCTTTGGCATATAGGATTATTATCATTTATCATTATCAATAGACACATTTTTATTATATTACACGGGTAGGTACGTCATTCGCCTTATGCAAGTACCAATTAGTATTATTTTGTCGTCAACACTCTACGTGCTGATATGCTACAAAACTTTACAGTATACAATACAAATATAAGTAATTCTATCAATAAAATATCTACCTCTTATTTAAAATTTAGCTTAAAGTTTTATTTTAGCACATAGGTACCTTTACTTATTTAAAAATAACGAATTAAAAATTCGTCATAATTTTCGTGAATAATCATGTTTTTTTTTTTGTGTATGTAGTTTGTTTAATCATTTTTTGTAGAAACAGTCTGGGTGATATATTTCTGCTGTCTGAAAATTCTCTCAACCTATATTCATAATAATTTTCTAAGGCAGTACATGTTAAATCAATTAGAGCTAAAACATTATAATCCATTGCCCTACATAACACATGCTCTTTAAACAATGACCTGTTAATGTATGATCTCTAAAACATATACACCATATTTCTTTATTACTCCAATAATTTAGTAAATGGGTGTACCAATTTAGATAGTTACGATTTCCTTCAGTTGACTTTAAATATGCATGTTCTGCATCAACAATTAATTCAGAGTACAAGTTCGAAACTCTTTCATAACTATTTTATGTTTTTCAAATAAGATATTGTGTGATAATCCATAGTCAACACCAAAGCCTGGAGAACGTGAAATACACAAAGTACACACTTAAATATAGCCAATAGCATTAATTTCTGCTGAACTTTGTATGTATGGTATGTTATGAAAATAATAGAAAATCCTTGGCCAAAAAAGTTTACATTACAAACGATGATAAAGCACAGTAACACAATAACATTGCAACAAAGACCCACGCGATTGGCACCAGGAGAATATGATGAAGCGCAGGTTTGCGGCAGTTAACCGACCACAGGACTGCCGTTGCTGTCATACGACGATCGCCCGTATTCATGAATCCCTGGTACATGATGGCACAGCATTAGCAGCAATTCTTGTGTTTTTGTCCACTGTGATGGATAAAAAATAAAAACCTTAACCTCGAAAAGTCTAATACCAATCATTTAAAACCACTTTGTTTAAACACGGTAACTTTCGTGTGTATATAAATTGATATGAGTACACTGATAACCATAGATAATAATATATACATGGATGTATTCAAGACGTGTGATCCAAGAGCATACTGGTTACATTTAATTAAGGTCTGGTATCAACCATAAATGATAAAGAAAACGCAATTGACCGACTAACGGTCACCCAAAAAAAAAATCCGGAAAATAATACTAGTTTTTGTTTGCATTAAAACTTAAATTGCATATACCATGTCTGATAATTTTTGTTTGTCTAAAAAGTAACTCATTTCGATAATTTTTATAATATTAGTAATTACAATTATACATGTATACAAATTAATAATAGGTACATAGATATTTTGTATTTTAACGAACAGAATACAGAAATCCTAATGCTGATGCCCATTCGTATTATTATGTTAACTCATATTATTATTATAATTTTTATTAATTGTTTATTTCAAGATTAATGGGTCCCACTGAGCATGCTCGAGTGAAGGCTCCCATGAGGACGAATCTTACAATTGTTTTTTTTTTTTTTTTTTTTTCTTATAGTTAGTTAATTATAAAACTAATGGTAGATATACTTAATTATTAGAGGATATGAAAAATGAATAATTAAAAAACAACAGACATAATAAAAAACACAAAGTATACATATATTTATAACAAAAAATACCCAGAAAAGGCATTAATTAATAATTAATATACAGAGTAAAATACTCATATTAAGAAAGTATTTTTAAAGTGTAGTTTAAATATTGCAGTACGTTATCTTACTCTACCATGGTGGGGGAAGCGTATACAAATTAGGGTCGGTTTTAGTATCAGTGTATGCACTCCATTATTGTTTATCTATTTGGATAACAATGGTAAAAAATAATTAGCACAAATCAGATTGATAAAAATGTTGTTTATCATAAACCAGTATCTGTAACCGCATTAAACTATTATGGTAACTGTTGACCACATAAACTATATGTGGTTTATATGGTCATAGATAGTATCCAGTAGTCTCTTTGCTCACAGTGTACCGTGTTTAATAGATTATAAAACCTATAAAGGTACAGCCGCATTGACGCACATACGGGGATGCCAAAGGTGCCTAGCACCCCTAAATCTAAAATAAGAACCCTTAAGATTTTGATCTAAATAAAATAAATTTAATACTCAAGATATGAAATAAGTTATTACTATTATACTATTGAACATTGATTTATATTAAACATATTGTATTAATTATTAATATTATATAGTATTTATATTATATTATCATGTAAGTTTATGTTGTTTTCATATTTTTTAAGAGGGACCCTTTTTGGTTTTTATTAGGTAATGAAAGATTCATTATTGAAAATCGGATCTCATTGTTTCAATTTTGTTTATTTAATGCGTAGGTTATACATAATTTTGTTTCGAAATGTCCCATAGGTTTGAAGTTGTTGGGGAGGGGCAAAGCACCCCACGTAATACCCTATCGTAAACAATTTTAGCACTCCTAAGTATTAGATAATGAATATGAGCCAAGGGTTGTAAGGATGTCCTATCCATGTATATAAGTTATTATATATGTATATTATCTATGTAGTTAACTCGTCGTGCGCTCGTTTATTTGATCGCTGCGAAGCCGGCCGGTTAATTTCCTGGTATATAAGGGACCGCACCTAACCGTGACACTAGATTTGTGTGTCTTATATTTTGAATTATTTTGTCTGTGATCTCGATAGTAGTTTGTGTTCAGCCGTTTAATATAATAACGTGTTAAGTTCAAATTATTTATGTGCAAACCAAAAATCATGCTTCGATTTTCAAGTGAAGTGTTTTCTGAAAGGAAATTCTATCTAGGTGGTACCTATTTTAAAAAGACAATTTTATGATTTTTCACGTGGTTTTCATAACAATTGGGAAAAACGGGAAAATTTACGATTTTATATATTACGACCTTTTAAAATATGTTTAATCAAATTCCGCTCAGAATCGTTTTTTTTTTTAGCAATGTTTAATCTTACGTACAGATATATATTCAATTTCTCTCTATATCCTACTTACCTAACTTCTCATCTACAACAGTGACCCACCAGTTGTGTGAAGTATGTCTTTTTGATAATTTAAATTCTTAGAAATAACGAAATATAGCTATTATTCTATTTTAAAAGAAAACATTATTTATATAGTGCAACTAGTTAGACATTTTTAATAAAATAGTGTCATTAATTTACTTTAAATACAGTCCACCCCACCCCCCGTTAAGAGGATCTAGTACTGCCTATGAATTAAAAAAAACCATAGGTAACCAGGCCAATAAGCCATAGCCATAGGTATCCGATATTACAAATAATTAATAACAATAATAATAAAATAAATTATACATTTGAAAATGCATGACAAATTAAACAAATTAAATAATGTATGTGTCACATAAGTATTAAAAACTAATACAAAATTGTATATTGTATAAATTATTAATTGCAAGATACGTATTACAATATAATATGTAGGTACATTGCTACTAGGATCCTATAACATGGTTCGGTGTGGGCGGCGGTGATAGTATCTGTTATTCATAGCTATGAAAAATAAAGCAGCAAAACCAATACATATTTCGCCACACTCAAAATCTAAAACAACTTAGTTTACTATAATCAGAAAAGTCAAACTTAATTTTTTTTTGATAAAGGGAGTGTGGGGGATGGATTTTTATTAATCCCAATTATTTATTAGACTTTTAATACACAATGGAATCTATTATTATTTTTTTATATAGAGACATTGTATACAAATTAGATAGACCAGGATTATTTAATCCAGAAAATATTTTCCAAAGTTTGTATTTATGTACCCACCTTGAATAACATATAAACTATCTAATGCGTATTATAACATGCAAACTAATTTTTTGAGGATGATTTAATATTAAAAGTTGTTATACTAATCTAACAATCTAACTGGTAACACTCTTATATATACTCTTTGTATTCGTAGTTAGATAATGTAGAGCCTTCTAGATTTTTTTTGTTTAGATATATACTTACGTTTTGTTTTTATTGTATTTCCAGTGGTATTATTGCATTATCAGTGAAACCTCACCTCATATAAATACATTTGAATAATCTATGATTGAGGTACTCCATGTGCTATTTTGTTTGGATTTACTTATTTGTCCATGAATACTATCTGTTTTCTCTCTTTAATTATGAATACATTTATAATTTTTTTTAATAAATTTAAATTTAAATACAATTATTAAATATTATTTGTAAATGACTTTAAGGATATAGGTACTAAAAACTAGGTTAGCATCAAATAAATATTAAAAACTATGTTTCAAATATAATAATAAATTAGATATAAAATACAAATTTAAAAATTAAAAAATAAATTTAATATGAAGAAAAATAACATTTAATTACAATTGATTGTATCTTAAAACTTCATCTTTTTGATCCTTTGACTTCTATGACATTTCTGCTATTAATCTGTTAATTTTGTCAGATACTTATGCAGTAAACGGGGTAAATAAATACGCAGTAAAAACTTTTAATTTAACTTCATAAATTGAATTGACATTGAAGGTACAAGCAGTAGATAAATCATAAATCATCCGAAAAGGCGTTGTTGGTGAACAGTACTTATATTCTGAACACATGACCAAATCTGTTTATTACGTGCATATTACCTTGTTATTATTAATTCTAAAAGACAGAAATCATTTATTATAATCATCTTTGCACCTTTTATAAAGTTTACATACATTACATTTATAATGATAATTGACGATTACATTTGATTATGCTCTGTCTCAAGATAGAATACATATTTCCTTAAATTCTAAATTGTTGTTATTATTTTAATAATAATTTAACGTTAGAAAATAATGCAATTTGTCTGTTACGATTGTTATTACATTAACACATATTGTTATTCATTTGCAAACATATTATATATATATATATATTTGTTTTTTTAATTCTAATTTCACAGTTTAAATAGCCTTTACCATATAATATTCAATTTGTTTCACTGTTCAAAAGTGTATCTATTGAACTGTGAAAATTTATCAATTATTACGAAAACCTCCT